CCTGCACCCAAAGCCAGCAACCCCCATCGGCCTCAGACTCTCACCCCCAGCCCCGACACCACCCCCTCGCTTTCCTGTGGGAGGTGAGCCCGACAACCCCAGCGCTCAGGGTCAAAGTCACTTGGCGGCCTGAGTGCATCCAGAGCACCACGTGCATTTGGCTGCCTGAGCCCAGAAACAACTTGGAGTGTGTGCAAATGGCCGTCTTGTATGAAAATACTACAGGAATCCTCAGCACGAGCCTGCGAGCCTGGCCCTCCTTTGCACAGGAGATACTTGGAAGCTGCGCCTCCTGCCCTTGGTACCTTTCTGAGGACCACTGGATCTGGGGCTGCAGTTCTGCCTCTGCCTGCCCACGTTCCCCATTGACGCTGAGCCTGGCCATGGCCTTTGCACACCAGTAGCCTGCCTGAATCCCACCTGCTTGCACAGGACCATGGAGCTGCCGGTCCGCTGCACGACTGCAACTGAAGCTTGCGTGGACTTCCCACTTGCTCCTGCGCAGCCCTTGTGGTATCAGCTGCTCCATTCTGACCTCACAAGTGTTTCCACAGTGTGAACTTTCCTGCTTAAGAGACAAAGGGACCGCAGGCTCTGGGCCGGAGCCAAAAGGGCACTCCTTCGAGCCGGAGTTGAACCAGCGACCTAAGGATGGCCGTGCAAGGGAGCCTACAGTCCTCTGCTCTACCAGCTGAACTATTGAAGGAATGGTAGGGTTATTTCTGACACCATTCAATACTCTGTAACACATCCATATCTCATCCTATACAACATACTTTCCTGCCTCCTAAATTTTTCTCCCTCCACCCAGATGTATCCTCATGAGACCCACTGCTGCAGCAGTCTAGCCTCATCTCAGCTCTCATCCTCAGTCTCCCACTTACAGAGGTGCTGAGCGTATTTCTGCAACTTTCATTTACTTGAGTGCCCCATCCGTTTTGTGGGATGGCTTTTTCTCTGCCTGTTGTCACTTTTCTCTCCTAAACATGTCACATTGCTTGCTGCTGCTGCTGCTGCTAAGGGCTGCAGTGATCACTGGTCCCAAGGTTCTGAAGGAGAAATCCATTCATCATGAGAAAAATCTGAATAGACATAAATCCATATGTTTGGTATGGGAAGCAGCCAACAAACTCCTGTGTCCATTTCACTGTCCTTTTTTTTGCTTCTTCCTTGTTCTCTACTTATAATGAACCATAATTATCACATAACTAGGAATGTTAGTTTTCCAGGGACCCAGAGGGAGATGTCTATATACCTGATTCTTCATGTTATGCCACATAGTTCATGTCCTTTCTTTTATTATTTCTTGGGTTTTACCTCACTCAGCTAAGTCCTGAGTCCTTTTCCTGAAATTGAAATACCAGCATATAGATCTCTTTCCCATTACTAAATCATCTCCAATTAGTATATGCCATCTTGGTGTGCAGGGAGTTGTTTTGTAGTGTACTACTTCTAGTGAGGACAGTTTTCCCAAAATCTAAATAGGAACATATCTCATCTTTTGTTAACTGTACTATGTTGAAAGTAATTCTGTTAGTATTCTAAAACAATATGAAATGAAGTGACTGTGCAACTAATGTTTTTCACCTTTTTGAAACTACATTTTGTTCAAATTCTTATTTTTTTGTGAGATTGTTTGGGATATGGAGAGGGCAGAAGATGTCTTTCGGTTTGTGGGAAAAGAAGGAAAAGCTGGAGATTGATTATCCAATGCCTGCAACCACGCATGGGTTTTTAAAGTAATACCTCTCCCCCTTTTTTTTTTTTTAATTCTAATTCCTGGGGTTTGTTTTCAGCTAAGAAAAGGGATAGATTGCATAAGCTACTTAAATACTTGGATGGCACATAATGTCATTAGTCATGCAAGACTTAGCTTGTTTTCCCAGATCTCCTATTTCATCTTTCATTATGTTTAAGGTACCACATGTTAAATATGATTCAAAATTTATGTTTAAGGTACCACAGGCACAGTATATTAAATATGACTGAATGTGAACCCCTTCATGGTATTAGAGACATGTTTAAGGAGTTATTTACTATCTATGAGAAGATGAATTGGGTTCAGCGTACAGAACTGAAGAGATTGTTGGAAGAGGCTGTTCCCAGGCTCATATCAGTCTTGATATTGGCAGAATGTCTCCAACACAAGAACTGTGACCAGGGGCAAAGCAGTTACATTTTACTGGGGGAATAATCTGTACTGGGACTTCAGTGGAAAGTCAAGCAAGACCCTACTCTGAGGATAAATTTGTTGGAAGAAGTTTGAGCACACTGCCTTCACACCACAAATAGTACTTTTTTGGCATAACAGTCACGGTTAGCTCCTGAAACACTCAGAGAGATTATTTACAAAATGTAACATAGCCTGACTGAGATGAGGATCACAGAATTTGAAACACTACTAAATCACTTTTGCTGCCACTAGAGGTCAGCACTAGTCATTAAATAAATATCCTGGAAAAAGCTTATTGCCAGTTCTTCAAAAGCAGTGGAGATTTTTGAAAAGATACACTTCTGTCTATGCTTGTTTTGCAAGTACATGTGAGCTCATACTGCCAGTGCCTCAACAAGGTTGGAAGCAAACCCTTTCTTCTCCAAGCTGTGCTTCCCCAGTGCTGTCTGTGAGCCAACAGTCCCACACTGGTCCTTCCAAGCTGTACCTGTCCTCGGATGCACTAGCGCTAAGTACAGTCAGGGGAAAAAGGCAGTGCTGAGTCCTGTCCTGGCAAAGGCTTCCCACCAGCATAAACAGCCCAAACCAGTTGACAATCAGCTTCCACTGCTTTAAGGACTGTCTTAGAAGTACGACAGTGAGGAATTAGGCCCAAAGACAAGCACTTGAAACTGGGGCTAACTCACTATGCTTTTCCACCTTGTGCTTTAGAAAGATGTTTCCTTTCTATTGCAACTCCTGAGTTTTCCATCATCACTGTCTGGGCTTCTGCAAACACAGACACTGTTTACAAAATTTTAATACAGCTACTATTGACAGGCAATCAAACACGGAATTTCCTTTGCTATGAAGACGATAATGTTGATGGGATAAGCAGCGTGATCGTCTTGTTTTTAAACAAACTTAATAAAAATCTTTATCTTTGTTGAAACCTGCTAAATGATGCAAATCAGTTGGCAATCATAAGGCAGCAAATGCATGTGATTTATTATCATGCTGCAATCTGTGCTTTCTGCATGTATCACTGTCTCCTTTAACATGGTAGCTGACCTGGTATCAATACATAAAGTTCATGTTCAGTGTAATAGGAACACCTCTTTCACCAAAACTTTAATGTTCAGTCACTTTGTCTCACTTTCCTTCCACTGAGTACTCTGTGCACATCAGAGCTGGACAAAAAAGAAGGCTGAACATGCTGTTCAGAATGATTTTATCTCTACTAAAATACTCTGTGATGTTTTGTAAGTGTCTGTATATATGCACACATATGCAGATTATTTTTGTTTTCCTTCTGTTGTTTTTTGGGTTTTTTTCATGTTTAAGAAAACTGGCTCTGAAATATCATCCTGACAAGAATCCAGACAATCCAGAGGCTGCAGAAAAATTTAAAGACATCAACAATGCGCATGCAACACTGACTGATCTGTCCAAGCGAAACATATATGACAAGTATGGATCATTAGGGCTCTATGTGGCAGAACAGTTTGGTGAGGAAAATGTCAACACCTACTTCATGCTCTCAAGCTGGTGGGCAAAGGTAAGCTGTTATTTTCTGTTGGAAATCAAATGTTACAATGCACACAGACAATGACATACACAAGGAACTCCCTGAAAAACATAGTCTCTCTATAGGCTTAACAGATAGTAGAATCTAAACCACTACTAAAAGCTTAATTAAACAACAACATTATCTGGAAAATCAGCAATGGCAGAATGTAACATCAACTCAGAATAGTGCTAATATAGAGTGTTTTCTTTTGCTTTCTAACTTGGTAAATAGTTAAGTACAATGCATGTTTTGTAACACTTTCAGACATTAATCAGATTTGAATCTAGTGCTCCAGCTTAATTTTGACTTTCTTTTCAGTAATGACTAAATAAAAATGACTCATTGTTCAAAAATGAGAAGTCCCACTTATGTGACAACTAGTTAATAAGTTATTACAGTACAAATTTAGCTGTGTTCTTTGCTATATATAGCACATAGCGTAACTAAGCAATAATAATACATAACACTCTGTGATTATGGTGTCATATATGTGCCCTGGTGAGGGAGTGAGAGAAAGGAAGTGGAAGAAAAGGTGAGAAGAGTGGAGTGGAGGAAGAGAGCAGGGAAGGAAGAGAATGATGCATCAAAACCCGGCATATTGCTCAAGGAAAAACACATCATGGGCTGTTGTAGTCATAAAGGAGTTGTGTTCACGTGCTTTCTTATGTCACTGGAGTCCTCTGATGTTTGCATCTGTCAAATTTGAGTATTTCTGCAAATATTGAAATGTAACAGAAATGTAACAAACCAACAAAAATGCAAATGTGCAAAATCCATGCTCTCCTCACCTATTTCCAGCAATAGAAGCAAAGGAAAGCAAGGACTTTGCTGGAATACATAGGAAAATTACCTGTACTGTGTGAAGCAAGCACGCTACGACAGCTTTGATCTGAGAACCATGGAACATGGATTCCTGTGTTCGGCATGGATCAGGCCAGTGCTTCACTGCCCCTCAGTTCCCTTTCAGACTGGGAAGTCACTGGAGCTCTTCTGTGGTTCTGAGAAGCCATAATTTGTCTGCTGAATCAGGATGAGACAGAAGCTGCTCGAATGCCGAACAGTGAATGAACGAAACTAATGAATAAAGGACTGGTGTTTAAACTGCACTTGCAAAGGCGCAGTTGCACCCTCAGAAGCAGGCTGGAGGCTGCCTGCCGGCAGCTGCCTGTAGCAGACTCCTGCTGCAGGTTGGACATCCCCGTCACAGATGCTGTCTTCTCCTGCTGGATCATTCCCTCTTTTCTTTGTTGTCCACCCTCTCCTTCAGCCTCTTTGTCACAGTTGAGATGCCAGGAAGCATTGCCTTAGAGCTGAGAGCAGCAGCAGTATTGACTCCTTTAACAGTCTTGGTAAACAAGGTTTTCATCACTATTTGCTGTTTCTTTAGCTTTTATTTCCTCTTCTGATTACCAATCTTTAATGGAGATTTTATGAAGTATAAAATGCTTTGTGGTTAGAAAATCAGGAACAGAAATAACCACTGTTGCTTTGACTCATAAGGAGAGCAGAGGAGAGTACAGAGAAGGTAGTAAGTCCCTAACAGCTAATGGAGGAATGTGTGGATTGTTTCAAGGAACCTATATCCCAGAGGTGAGACAAGATTTGCTGAATATCTCAGCAAAAGTAATCACTGCTTCCTGGTTTTTAAGAATTCTGTGCATAAAATCCAAAATATGCACATAGACTTATTTGAGGCTTGTCACAGGTGGTCCCTCTATCCCTCCCCCAACCCAAAAATCTTGCTACGTCCAAAGGATAAACAGGCCGCTAAGTGTTTTTTGCAAGTTGAGCTCACTAATCCTCATCTCTTTTTAACTCATGCACAAATGCTGGGTCAGCTGCAGATTTTTATATTGGCCATCATAATACTATTTGAGTCTGAGACATCATTTGCAGATGACCTCTGGACCCCTAATTTCCTCCATTCTGGTAGAAGACAGTGGGATCACAGCTTTCGCTCATTATCTTCCTCTTCAACTATGAACATTCCTGGTAAATCCTCCTCCCTATCATACTCATACTGAAAAAATCCAACAATTGTGAGGAGGTGTATCATTAGAAGTAAGGAAACTCAAATGAAAGGAGAAATGCAAAGTGAAAATTACTTTTTTTCTGGAGTGCCAGACTTCTTAGCAGGCATATCAAACTGGAAACATACTGACATGGGTAATGGGAACTTCAAGTGCTTCTCCACCAGCAGGCATAAGGGTTGTTTGTTTAACTGTTTTAGCAAAAAACAATAATTCTCCCTCTACCATGAAGACAGTTTATTGATCACATCAATAAACTGATTCCTGATTTACCAACTATGATAATATAAGCACAAGAAATCTTGAAATATTTAAGGTACAATGAATGAATTCAAGTATATTTTCCCTCCATACACTTTTATTCTGGGATTTTTTGGGGGTTTTGTTTGTTTGTTGGGATTTTTTAAATTCTATCCATTGTGGTGATTTATTCTCCTTTATAGCATACATGATAAACAGCCAGATAACTTACTTTAGGGGTTACAGCATTTATAACAGTTTCTGGTGTCTGTTGGAAGGAAAACATTTTAAAAAAAAAAGTTAGAGTCCTTCATTTCAAATCACCTCACTCACTCTTGATATATGCCTATATTAATATTAGGCATGTAAATATTACCTTCAAAGATGCTCCTGTCAGCCCCCGCTAACATTGCCTGAGACACGCAGACATAGCTGAATGTTATTTACATAGCTTCATTGTCAAAATTTGACAATGTCCTGACGTTTGTGCTTGCTTTCTCCTCAGCAGCATCTTTTCTTATGAATATTACGAAGAGTTAGTAAAGGGCAGACTGTATAACTGTAATGCTAAAGCCTGGCTATACCTCCAAACCATATATACCTGGTGGCCACAAAGCTGTGCTGGCTTTATATACACATTCCACAGAACAGATTTGATCTGCTTTTCAGGAATGTCACTGGCTTTCCTTTGCTCTTACACCACTATGTCCATGAAGTGGGGTTTCTCCTTTGCCACAAACATCACGGTGCAGGCCTGGATCTGCCCCAGGACAGCAGCCAGGCTGCCATCATGCACCTGTGGAGCACGAGGCAGCAAAACCAGCCGAAGGGCTCCCCTCCTGCAGCCCCCCTCCCACTGCCACGACATGGCATGTAGCCCCCAATGCAAGCAGCTGTGGAGCTGTGCTGTGAACTCGGGCAGTGACCTGATCTGGAGGAAGAAAAGCTCTGTAAATTAAAGTTTTCAGGCTGTTGAATCTGGCTGAGATCTCTGGTCTCGGCCCCAGGCAGTTGGGATGGTTCTGCTGAAGCCTCCACGCTCCATGCTGCAGGGACAGGAGTGAGCAGAGGGTGATGCCGGTGGGAACTTCTTCCCGCCTGAGTACCCAGATCAAGAAACCACAGCCCGAGGAGTCTAATTTAGGAGTTATCCCGTGTGCTCCTGCACAGGCTAATGGGGAGAGAGACAGGCATCCCCAATGGGTAATTCAAATCCTCCTGGGGCTGAATCACCCTCTGGAAGGGCCTTTAACTTCCCATTGACTATGTGGGGAGCCCATGGGGGCTACAGTCCTAATTTGGATGCCTTAGTTCAGTGCCTAAAGTTATGTGGGATGCATCTGGGTCTTTGCTTCTTTTTCTCTTGGCTTTGTTATTGACAAGAAACTGTCAGTAAATAAGTGTTTGCAAAAATGATCTTGGGCAAATGAGTCATTTTAAAGATGGAAATGAGTCATTTTAAGGTGGGTGGGGTTTTGCATACTGCCTGGAAGTTTTTTCTAAGGGCCATCAGCTGAAGACAGACTTTCAAAAGTTGAGCATGTGGGGGCCTGTTGGTTGGTGTCTTCTTTGTTGACATGGAGGAGCTGATGGGTGGGGAGGAATTTGGAAGATCTGACCCTTGTTTAGGCACTTGGCCAGCTGCTGGACTCCTCTGAGTGCCAAGCACTTGGGAACCCAAGTTCCTTTGATGATCTGCCTTCTTCAGCTGTTAGAGGTTGCCACGAGTTTCAGGAAGGTCATTGCTCATGGAGTTTTCCTCCCACTGTGTTTAACCCAGGGCCTGTTTGCAGTCTGTGGTCTGCTGACGGGCTGCTACCTCTGCTGCTGCCTCTGCTGCTGCTTCAACTGCTGCTGCGGAAAGTGTAAACCCAAAGCACCCGAAGGGGATGAGCATGAGTTTTGTGTGTCTCCAGAAGATTTGGAAGAGCAAATTAAGAATGACATGGAAAGAGGTGTGTATTATAGGGGCTTACTGTGTGGCAAAGCTGTTCAAAATAATCTTCAAAGCCTGTAGGCCAGGTGTTGTGCTCACAATGATGAGGCTGCTTCCAGACATCACTGGAGGCATGCCAATTCACTCCAGCTAACACCATGACCTGATGAACTTCCCAAGTTGTGTGTTACTGAAAAACTAAACTTATGGAACTAACAATTAAATATCTCCTGTATCACTTACGAGAGACATAAACATTAGAAGTCTCAGGCCTCATCTTAAAAGAAGATGTTCCCCCTTTAGCCCCCATGCCCACGTTGGTTCATATCCTAGATCCTGAACTCTGCCTGGCTCTGCCTGGACTGGCACTTGTCACATCTGATCTGCCTGAATAAGCAGTCATTTGGGTTTTATTCATGTAAAACTTATCACTGGCTGTGATGGGCCAACTGTACCCATCCAAGAAAAGGCTTCAAGAACACACAGAGCTTCCAACAGTAAGGTTGCACAGTAACCTAAGAGAGCTTGCATGGGAGCTGCCGCTGTCCTGCCCCTCTCCCATCCAGCCCCCAAGCTTCTCACTGTCTTCTGCACTCGCAGTAGCAATTGCACTGCCTTACCAGGAGCCAGATCTTGGATACGATCCAGGTGAAAACTAATCCTCTCAAAAATGTGTGTAGTTCCCTCCCCATTTAACTCCCTGCCGTGCCTCACAGTGGGGCAGGCCAAGTGCTAATGACAGCTCAAAGGAAGCAGCAGGAGTGCCCAGCTGGGAACAAGGGCTGGGGGCAGCAGGATCCCCTTTGCAGCACATGACCCTCTTTTCTTGGCTTTGCTGCGTCCCCTGGCTGCACACTCAGGTTTTGGCTATACCAAAGGATGATGGTGGTGATTTCCTAATCTGACATTAGAGTGGGTTACATATTTTGAACAAAGAGCCCAGTCCTGATCTGCTGAAGTGGAGCAGAGTTGTGCCTTCATCTTCAGGGGAAACAGAAACATCTCAAACTGGTTAGATTTGGACACTTGCAGGACAGGCTGAGAGAGGCAGTGATCCTTGCTCCAGCAATAAGAGGCCAAGGTATCAGGGTAAGACCTAAGACACTTTTCAGCTGCAAATTTGTATAAACTATGATTAGAATTATGGGGTTTTATGAGGAAGGACCTAAGCAGTCAGCTCACTCTTTTTCTCTTCCATTGTTATGGAAGTTCTTACGCTGTTATATTCTTACGTTTATTATGCTTAAATTAGCACTGCCAGATTGCAAATGTCATGTTCCCTTAGCAGGAAGAATGTTTTTCCCCCCAACTTTTCACACAAATTTACCCTTCCATAAATATGTAACAAAACACTTGTAGTAGTTGAAACAAATGCTATTTATATAACTGATATGCCAACGTGTGGTGGTGTTTTTAAATTGGTTTTGCTTAGAGGCGTATCAAGGTAAATACAGTCAGCTTAAAAATCGATTGTACTTGATCAGTCTCTGCAAAGGCAGCAAAAACTATTAGTGAAAACTTTATAACCACAATGTATTATTTGAAATAAATGTAAAATACTCTACAACATTAGGTACCTGAAAAGTACAAATTGAAAATTACTCTTGGTATTTATGGGTCTGTTACACCAAAGCCAAGTTTGAAATATGAAGATGGAACTCTGAAGGATAAGAATTTTTTAACTCTGGCTTTTTTGTAATTTGGCAGGTATTTTGCGCTCTCTCAAAATCCAGCACAAAATTCCCCAGTGGACAAAAAAAAATTTCTCCCTCCTTCCAGCACAGGTGGTATTTATTGGTATTCAGTAATTTTAGGCCACCTTCACTTCCCTTTACTCCCATCAAGTCTCACTGAGATATTAATTTTTAAAATCAATTTAAAATGTTTAGCAAAGTACCAGTCTGAAAAATTAATCAAATGTGGAATTATGTGGTTTAAGTATTTTGAAGACAATATTAAGTATATAGGTAGGGCCTGGAGAAAAGTAGACATTTCTACCTTTCATGTTCTTCTTTTCAGTCTTGTTAGATTTTCCTACCAATCAAACCACACTTGCTTCAGTAGAGTAGAACTCTCTATATTTTAAAATTAGATTAAAAGAGAGCAACATATCAAGAATAAAAGTAAAAACTTCATGACAGAGGATAATGTGAGCATCTTTTCTGCAGCTGAAAGGAAAATATTAGACACTCTATTTAGAAAAATGAATGATAACCAGCTCAAATGGCACTTCCTCCCTCCCTAATCCCCAAATTTTACGGATGCTGGCCAAAAAGATGCAGCTGACTAAGAATGACATAGATTGGGCTTTTCCACCAGACATTTTCAAATGTTGGGCCATAGAAATGAATACACATGGCTTACTTTATGTAAATAATAGAAATGCTCCTGTAGGTAATTCAGAAACAAACTGTAATCACTCCTGCAGCAGATTTCATTTTGGAAGAGGAAATCCAATTAGGATCCAAATTATTCCCATGCCCTCTGCCCACAGACTGAGCATTCTAGCTAGTAATTAATTTCTTTGCTTCCTGCTGTCCCCAGTATCTATATTATTGCTAGTAAGAACTCTTACTAAGGTCAAAATGTAGATTCTCAAGGCCATACTTTAATTTATCCAAATACTCTGCAGTCAGTCATTGCATTTCTGAGGAATGCAACATCAAGAAAACATCGCTATTCCAGATGCTAAAAAGCTCTGAGAGCAGGTCTCCACCAGTTGCTGCTGCACTCAGGGGGAGCTGCTTGGAGCCAGCTGTACCGCACAGAAGAGGCAATATGCATATTGTGGGAGTCGAGACTTCATCTTTTGAGCTGGCACAGCAGTAATAATTTTCAGAGTCCCCCACATTTCTCCTGTACAAAATCAAAGTACTACATAGTCAATTTGATTCTTCAAATTAACATACCATAAAACATATTTATTAGTGAAAAAAAGATATGTGAGGCCAAAAATACATTCCCTAAAATGTAAAAGAAAAGTGAATTTTCACTGAAATCAACACAACTATGTCAAAGGCTTCAATTCTGATGAAATGGCATATACCTGTAGAAGAAAGATTTATTCAAATATATTTGACTAGTTCCAGCACTCAGCTAGTTGTATATCTTCTGTGAGAGATTAGTTTTACAGCACGTACTTCCATAGACAGCATTACCATCAGAACTAAAGGAACTTTGGGGTCTGCAAGCCCTGGCCTGTACTTAGATTACAGTGAGTTCTTCTCATGACTATTGATTTGTACCACAGAGGACTGTGGCCTAATGGACAATGGAAGACCCAAAAAAAATAAATCTTATATTTGGATTGTTACATTTTAAACATGACTTTTTTAGGGTTTCAGATCAAACATGACATTAAAAAAGAGTAAAAGTTCATTGCTTTCACTCACACACATGGTACAGGTCGCCGGATTTTGCTTCCACTGAAGTCAATGGCAAACCTTTTGCTGACTTTTGTGGTCCCAGAGGAGGTGCCATTGGAATTTGGATTGCCTTGATACTTCAGGGTGTAACGATGCACTCAAGCAGTGTGGCAGGTTTGTTCTCCTCTTCTGGTTGGTTATCATCGTAAGAACAAAGCAAGGCATTTCTAGACCAACTTCCATTTTACAGAAAATGAGATCTGGGAGTAAAAAAGAAAAAAAAAAAAAAAAGAACCTGAATAACAGAATACTTTCCCAACTCAGAAGCAATAAGTTTTTAGCACTTCATTGTCTCCTCCGCACTCCATATGATACCAATGTAGGCGAACAGTGAGCAAGAGCTATCTATAGAAAACAGTTTAAACTGTGAATTCTGCCGCCCCTCCATTCTGCAGCTCTCCATTAGCAGGCTATATTTGTACAGTTTATTATACCATGGGTCCCTGCTCTGATAAAAAACCATCACAAATCTTAGAAGGGTGCAGGCAGCAAAATACTTGGGGAAGGTGTCAGCTCAGAACTGGAAGCAATGCGATAGATCTGCAGTGGGTCCTTTTCTCTTGTTGCACATCTGGGCATCACGGCAAAATTAACTGCTAGTCTCTGCCCTCCATCAACGATCTTCCATAAAATGAGCAACTTGGAGGCAGCAGAGGGTGGGAGGGAGTGTTGCTCAGAAATCTAGAAAATACATGGCAACTTAAAAATGGATTGAAACTGCCGAACTAATCTGCGCCCGAGCTGAGCTCTAAGCATTAATTACTCATATACTTTTAGAAGTTACGAAATACGTCTGTCTTTGACCTTGTGTCTAAATACAGAATTGCCCATACAGAGAAGCTGCTTGGCATTTAATCATTCTTGCCTTTCACCTTGACAGAGTCAAAGTTGTTCTACCCCCACTGAGGGGAAGCCGTATGGCATGCAATTAGATTCCTGCTCTGGGTTAAGTTACTCCTGTACATTACATCTCTTGCCCATGATTCATCCCATCAACTGTCATGTAAACAGGAGGAAATGTCAGATTAATTTTTTTCTGAACATTCGGTCATTTGGAAAAAAAAAAAAAGTCATCATTTGTATTCAATTACTGTGAAGGCTGTGCTAGTATCAAGATGCAGATAGTCCAAATTTTTTCATATGAAAGCACTTCACTGAGATGGCTGAACCTTTAAAAGTCAATCTCTGAGGCTTGAGTCCCCTTCTCCTCCCCCGCAAAACAGTGCATTGGAAAGAGGCCCAGGAGAAGGGCAGCCAAACCTTGTTCATTATCAGAGGGAACACAAAAGCCATCAGGGAACTCTGTAAGGACTTCACTTCCCTCCACTCTACAACAAATATATTTTTTACAGATATATTGGGAAACCAAACACATAACTGCATGGAATGAGAAAGTACAAAGTAAGGATTTATATAGTGATAGTATGAGGTTCTGGCAGTTCCAAACTCATTAAAACAGTAATTCTCAAAATCCTATTGTAAATATATTACATAAGACTTCAAAATGCAATTTAACATTTTTATTTAACTAGCTGGCTTTCAGGATATATATGATTTCTTCCCTCAAGTATATTACTGCTCACACACTTTTTTTCCTTTTAAGTCTCTTCTTTCTTTACTGTTAACTTCTTTGCCTTCTTCAAGACTCATTTCTGGCCCATTCTCGCAAACACTGTCAAGGTTAGTGCTTGCTGACTCACAATGGCGCTCATTATATTCAGACATATGCAGGAACAAACACTTTGCAATTGGAACAGGCAGGGACCCTTATCTTGCAATCTCTGCAAAGCACCGGGTACAGCTAATGTCCAGTTTAATAACAACAGCAATAGTCACCCAGAAATCTGCCATTACACATGGACGAGGAGTAAGAGCATTTGTAGACTCAGTGTGGGCATTTTGGGCCTCTTCAGTATGCACACAGCTGCCTGTGAAGCCAAGGTTAAGCCATAGCCACAACAGCAGATGAAACATTGTGATGCTAACAAGAAGTCTGACTTTGGTAGCAAGCGAAGGATTCTTAAAGTATTTTTTTGTCTTCCTCCCCAATTTAGATGGAGAAACTCCTATCGTGCTTCAGCCGACTAACGCAAGCGAGAAGACACAGCTAATAGGGGACAGCCACCGGAGCTATCACACAGACTCCTAAGGCAAGCAAACATGACCCGTTGGTGCTTCCCACTGAGTGTCACAGAGAGAAAAAACATATGATAAGTTCTGCAGCCTATATTGGTAGTTGTCTTTAAGCTAATGAAGAGTAACCTGAGAGTAATTTCCTATCAAAGCAGAATCTCCCTCTAGCCCACTTCCAGTAGGTTGATATCTACACCCTGCACAGAGATACTTATGGTCAGTATAGAGCTCTACAGACCAGCATGCTGGTGTCTCACAGCTTCAAACTGCCAGGCTCGGCAGTCTTTCCCTCTAATAATACTCTGTATGGTATAGTTGCTCTCCTTCCTGCCTTCAGCTGAGGTTTCACCTCGCAGACACAGTCCTGAGTCCCCTTTCAGACACACCGGCTCCATCTCTCCCTATCCTGGGAATGCTCCTCACATGCAGCAGTTTTGTGAGGGAGCCCTGGAAATGCTCTTTAGCAGATCTCAGAGGGAATGTCAGTGGCAAGGCAGACACGGCTGTCCTGCCCAGAAAAAAACGCTCTTTAGAAAGCAGCTAACAGCTTGCTGAGGCCCAGCCCCGGCAATTATAAACCTGAGCCGGGACGAGGTGCTCAGGGATCGTTCTGCTGGTGGTTACAATACAGGTCACTCCAAATCCAGGAGCCCCATCCAGCACCTAAGCACACGTAGGCTCTGTGTCCTCCTCTGCACAAGCTGCAAACCCGGGAGATGGTGGGCAAACACCTCGTGGAGGGGGAGGCTGGCCCTGCACTGCCCCAGAGCCTCTCTCCTCTCCCCGTAGCTGGTGACAGCACTGTGGGCAAAGCTCCCCCATTCCATGGACGGGCCTGCTGCCTGTGCCGGGCTGCCCTGGCTTCTCCATCTGCAGCTGCAACGTGCTGGAAATTGGTCCCCAGCCAGCAGCTTTCTACTGGTTTGCTTACTGCACCGTGCCCCTGGCTGTCAGCCCTGCTGTCCCGCTGGCACTGGGCTGGGAGCCATCATGCCAGTGCTGGCACCGGGCTGCGGGAGCAGCAAGGACTTGGCAAGGCAGGCAAGCAGCAGAGGAGAGACCGTCCTCCTCATCGCCCAGCTCATCGGGGTGAGCCTGGGTCCTCCCCTCTGCCCCAGGCACAAGGGCTTTAAGAGCACACAGCGTGCTTTTGAGTAAAGAGGTAGGGATGAGATGTACGTTCAGGTGTACCACTGCACAAATCAGTGGAGATAGGTGTGGTGTGGCTACAGTAAGCACAAAGAAATTAGGCCTCTAATTTGTAAGAGCTAAAGAAATACCTCTGAGATCTTAAACTTAGCATTTCACTGGTTTGACATAGTAGTTTAAGCCTTAGACAGCTGAATTTCTCTTTATTGATCATGTTACATCAATCATTGTCAGTTCTGTGCATTTGCTATTTTTTCTCCTCTAATCACAGTGCTGTGGTCCAAAGGGGGACATAATGTACCACTGAATTATATAGACCAGTGAATATATAGCTAGTCAAAAGTGTTATTTCCTTCCTTAAAATTGGATTCTGTGGTTGTGAAACATTATTGTCTTCCTTCTATTCTCACCTTTCACATCAAATGTCATTCAGTGGCAGCTTAATATATGGGAAAAGAGTGTGTTTCATCCCACTAGCTGTAACTCCAAAGTCAAGAAATAGTACTATTAACATTTCTTTAAAGTCCCCATAGCACATGGACATTTTAAAAGCCATTAATTCCAGTTCAGGTTATATATCTGTTCTCCAGGTGCAGGCACTGGGGCCAGCTAATGCTCCCATTACCCTCAGAAACACCCCTGTTTTTCTGCTCCGGAGAAGAGGGGAAGTCCTGGCACAGCTGGGGCTGTGCACTGGCACTTGCTCCTCTCCTACCCGTGAGCTCCTCTTTGTCCTCAGTTGCATGTTGCAAATAGTTTTGGAGGCCACTCATATGTGGGTAAATCCAGACTGCCGTCCTGCCTGCCCAGCAGTGCTGGAGGGATGTGGCCATCCATCCTGCTGGTCCAGGGGAGGAGGGGTTTGTGACACCATCCTGCTGCTGAGGAGACATGACCCCAGAAAGCACGTTCCCAGCAGTAGCCAAGTGGCTGGATCAGACAGCACATGCATTGGGGTGCTGGTGCTGCGAGACGGGCAGGGTGCAGCCACTGGGTACGTGCTGGGGTACGCCAGCACCCACTCACCCCACTCACGTGCATCTTTTGGCTTTCTTCACTATTCCCCTTTGCACAGTGTTTGCTCTGATGTAAGATGTTATCACCAAACGAAGGAGTAGGGAGAGCACATAGTATGTAATAAATCTGCAGGTGAAGTGATTTCCTAAGTTTCACTGCCTGGGAGAGAAATTCGGTGTGAAAGTGTAGTGACTACGTAGTTTCCAGCAGAGAGTTGGAAAAAGCCTCAGGAGAAATGTCTAGTGTAAAGCTACATGTTATATGTACAATCCTGAGTCCAGGGGAGGGCCACGAAGCTGATCAGAGGGCTGGAGCACCTCTCCTGTGAGGACAGGCTGAGAGAGTTGGGATTGTTCAGCCTGGAGAAGAGAAGGCTCCGGGGAGACCTTAGAGCAGCCTTCCAGTGCCTGAAGGGGCCTACAGGAAAGCTGGAGAGGGACTGTTTACAAGGGCAAGTAGTGACAGGGCAAGGGGGAATGGGTTTAAGCTGAAGGAGGGTAGATTTAGATTAGATGTGAGGAAGAAATTCTTCACTGTTGAGGGTGGTGAGTCACTGGAACAGGTTGCCCAAAGAAGCTGTAGATGCCCGCTCCCTGGGCGTGTTCAAGGCCAGGTTAGATGGGGCTTTGGGCAACCTGGTCTAGTGGAGGGTGTCCCTGCCCATGGCAGGTGATCTTTAGGGTCCCTTCCAACTCAAACCGTTCTATGATTCTATGATTCTATGAATCCTTTCCTGTGTGAAATCCCTCCTTCTGCTCCCATGGAAGTCACTGAGAATTGCACCCTTGATTTCAACAGCCAGGGAGGGAAAGGTAAATCCTAGATTATCAAAAGCAAATGGAGAATTTTTTCACGTGCACCACCTTCGATGTCCCTCAGGACCCCACTCTTTGGCCAGCGCAAAAGTTTACTGAAATCAAGGAAACGATCTCCGTGGGCTTGAGATGTACCGCAAGTCATGTAGTTCTTACTCTTTCTAAAGCGAATCTAGGGAGATTTTTCTTGGGAAAGATTTATGACTCGATCTTGCAGTGTGATGCAAAGATGGACAAGCTGCTGCATGTTTGCAAAGCCCTTTTACAGCCATGAGGATCTGTACAGAAGAGCCACAACATATTATCTCAGTTAGCCAAAAACCTCAGAACAAACCAATGACCAAGCTTCTGAGTGGGTTCTCCAGGACTTGCGGCTTAAAAATCTGAGTGTCTGAACCCATGGTTTACTTTCAAAGACAAAACTTAGTTTTCAGAGTACCAGGGCATTTGCCTCTCTCACTGCTGTCAGGATCAGCAATTCTGAGGACATATGGAGAAAGGATGAATAAGGATTTCAGGACTTAGCTCTTCAATGCAATCTTACTCATTTGTTAGCTTTTCAGAAAAGTTCCTTACATTAACATAGGTATGCTCACATGATCTGTTTCTGTGTAAAGTTCAGTTGCACATTCATTAATGCTCTTAAAATGTACAAATCCTCACATTTTTGTTCTGTTTTGCTGCATTTATTTATTTGTAAAGTACTATACATTAAAATCTACCTTTGCTGTCAACCAACCACTCTGACTAACCACTCTGACTAATAAAGGCTGTACATATGAATTGTAGCACTCCCTTTACTTTCCCACACTATCAACAACTTCATTCTGGTAACAGCTAAAGAAACTGTTGAGACAGCTGTCCAAAATTATGGCTTTGCACCCTGACAAGTGGCAAATGGCAACTCAGGGTTTCCCCAAAGAGGAACTTGGTCTTGGATTGCAGCAGATGACACTACCTATGCAAAGCAGCCAGAGCTACAGCCGCATGTTGTAAATCCTTTATACAATGCAGAATGCTTGTCTGCATTAAAAAAAAAAAAAAAAAGAAAAAAAAAAGCAGTGTGATGAAGTGATATAACAGGAGTTTTACTGGCAACATGGAACGATTTCCCCCAGCAAAGGGTGTGCGTAGAGAGTGAAACCGTGATGCTGCTGAGGACAAGGGCAGATGTCCTGTGAGCTTCCCTGGGGCCAGCACCTCACTCAGGGGTTTTGCATCTGTCCAAGAGCCGGCGCAGTGTGCCGGGTAATCCGGGCCTGCCACAAGCCAGGAATGCGTCTCACTAGGATGGTATCCAGTGAGCACAAAAGCCCGAGCATTTGAAAAAAATAGACAAGGGGCAACTGTTTTGTCTGGATGTATTCTCAAAGAGCTGTGCCCTTTTGTGTGGTTACGTATTAACTCATACCCAGAGTCACTTGAAATACCAAATAGGAAGAGGCATGGTAGAAGATTTAGGCCTATCATCAACATAACCAGTTATTTAGGTAGTTTGTGCGCTTTTCTCCCCACAAGAAGTTTGTGTGATAAACCACTCTGCTTAATGCAAAAAACATCAAACATAATTGCACGCCATTTAATTTCATTACTTACCTTCCCTCAGAATGAATACCCAAGGTATGGGTGCGATTTCAGTCAAAAAGAATGATATTTCTGCCTCTTTTTAGAAGAAAATCATTAAAGAAAAATGATGAAGCATGCAAAACTGAGCACAGTTAAAATTACCGATTTCTTTTTCTGTGCTGTGATTTTCTGTCAGAAAAGAAAGGTTCATTGTGCTGTTTCAAAGCAGGGCGAAAGACCACAGATGACAGACATCGCCTGCCTTCCCTCCATGAACTACAGTCAGCTACATCATCGCGTCCAGCACGTCCTTTCCCTTTGAGAGCCGTGAACGGGTGCAGAGTCTCATACAAGAGGACTCAGTCCTTCATGCCAGTGTCACCCGTCCCAGGGCTGGGAAGGCAATGCAGTGCCAGCATGTAAATGTATAGATACTTCCTTAGTCCAAAAATAACGTCTAGATGTTTGG